GTGTTGAAAGTACGGAAAGCATTTTCAGTAAATTTATCACAAATCGTGTTTATTGATTTGAGGAAATAAGGTAAAATTTACACACGATACTGATACAGATAATCACTATACGGACTGAGTGAGCTACTTGACTTTTGGATGATGATGTCAGTGCTTTTTAATAGTAACATGGCGTCACATGCTCAGACATAAAACTGCACTTACTGAATTTGGTCACCTTATCAAATAACTGCTGTAAACGTAATGAGCTCCCGGAAAACTTCCTTCCGTCGGTCAAGGAAGCCGCCATTAACACGTGGGTACATTGCTCTGGTTTTACTGCTTTGAAATACCCTCTATTTCGAAGCTAAAAGTCTTCTTGCTTGATCGACGTGCTGTTTTTTTTTGCAGATGGCTATCACGTTCAGAGTTTGAATTCTTTTGGTAACTAACGGTAGCTAAGCTAATTAAATTATTGGTTACGGACTGGATAACTTGGGTTAGCTTCCTGGCAAGGCGTACTGTAGACGTACATATGAAAAGGTGGCCTTTTGTAAGTGTCTCGACATACAGAGTGATTCAATAGTCCCTGTGGACACACATGGGCCCTAGGTGATGCACTCTGTATAAAAGTTCGTGGGGTGAGTTTAGTTTATTTAACTTTTACAGACTAAAAACTAATGTGTGACTTCATGGTCTAGCCCGTCCGGTCTCGAGTCTCCTCCCCTCCCTTAGGCCACAGCGTTTGAGTCAATGGACGGGTTTTTATAAAATTTGGTACGAAAGTTATAGCATTATGGGCTACAGTACTATGGGGACTGTGTCAACTTCTGACGTGGGAGCTACATTAACATCAGTGAGTGTATAGTCTTGAAATTGTTACAGAAGTGTGTTTTTTAAAATAACGAAGTTTTTGTCTGTTGTAAAATGACGTGGTGACCGCCCGGCATCTGTGTTTAGCTTTCGGTGTGGTGATCGTGGATCGATCGAATGACTTATTGGGGCGGGCAATGAAATTTCGTATTCAGGCAAATCATAAACGTACCTCCGGTTCTTTTTACATATTAAGTTACAAATGTAACGACGTTGCGAGTCAGGCGTCTGTTTTTATGTTCGACTATCCCATCTGTGTAAATACAAAATGCAATTTTATCTGTTTCGTATGGCTGAGAAATTACTCTCGCGCGGAACGAAGAACGTAAAGTTGAAAGTGTTTGAGAGAACCTGGTGCTGAGGCGAGTGTGTGTACCTAAGAAGGAGGAAGTAACAGGAGGCTGAAGAGAATTTCAAGTGTAAGGCTTCATAATTACAGGCCCTCTCTTCACCGTATGTGTGAGGGCATGCGTCGATCGTGGACTAAGCGAGAAATGGAAGAACATTTAGTTGGCAAACCTGAAGAAAGGAGACTGCTAGAGAGACGTGGTCTTAGATACAAGGATAATATTAGAATTGCTCTCAGAGGAAACTGTTACGAGGGTGTGGGCTTTATTCGTCTGGCTTATGATATGAATAGTGGGGGGAAGTTAACCTTTCAATTCTGTAACAGGAGGGAAATTTCTTCACGAGCTGAGAGACTACAAGTTTATACTCTTTAGAGTTAAATAGTAAATCCGTGGTTGTGTAAAATTATTGCAGTATTTGTTCGGAATGTTGTGAAAGTAGTTTGAAACGAACAGTAACGGGATATGGCTTCTTGAAAGCATTATTCTGTAACAAGAAATTGAATTACGTGGTTTCCTATTGCAAGATTCCTTGTCGTAACTACTCATATTTCATATATTTATTACCGGTCAGCATTTTGATGCGATTACTGATTATGTTTGCCATTTTTATAAAGTGCAAACGTGATTTCACATTTTAAACGGACAACAAAAAGTGATAGTGGAACCACGGTTCCGGAGAATTAGACGTAAATACGTCTATACGGAAAGGAAGTTTATATATTGGATTTATTCTAAGTATTTCCTTTATCATGCTTTACAATTGAGATAAGTTTGATTAAGACTTTGCTTATTTAACTTGAATTAGTTACGCCTATGATGGGTCTGTGGTAGATGAATGTAATGCAAAGTAATGTATTGTAATGTAAGGTAATGTATTTTAATGTAATGTAATGAAATGTTTTATAGGTAACAATAATTCCGAGTAAACAATTGACGTTTCCAAGGTAACATAACAATGCAGTTACACTTTTTCCTTTCACTTTTTGCCGAATGACATTTACCCGAAAATATAGACGTATTTACGTCAAAAAGAAATGTCATAAAAGTTCCGAACCTTGAAAATCCTGTGAGCATATTTCTCGTGGAAACTTCAAGCGTGGTGCCTGGGTAAGATCGGTTTTTTTTGTTTGTGTGGGTTGTTGAAGCCGGCATATGAGGAGAATGCGATGCAGATGTAATGCATTACAGGTGGAAGACCTGTGACGTATGCAAGTCCATGCAGGAATCGTGAAGAAGACCCATGTTCTGTATGTGAGCGTGTATAATTTCCCGTTTTGGCTGTTATACGTCCAGGGGTCGTAACTGATGTTCGTGTCAGTTGCCAGGTTAAGTGCAGTTTAGACACACTGTACAACATTTTAAAGTACTTTCGCGACCGTTTTTAAGTTTATGAAAGAAAACGTTTTCTCAGAGTTAAACTAAAGCAAAACACCCCAATCACTTAACAACTGTTCAGTTGCAAATAAAGAATGGGGCATATAGCACGCGTACGGAGACGAGTGCATACAACATTTTAGGCGAGAAACCTTGAAAGTAAGATACCACTTGCAGTGCCTATGATAATATTAAAATACATCTCTAAAGAATCTTGAAGGTGTGAACTGGATTCAACTGGCTTGGGATATGGTCGTGAGGCGGGCTTTTGTGAACTTTGTTAGTTGCTTGTCTGCTCAGTTTCTTGCGTAATACTCTGTCCATGCAGTTAGTTGGCTAACTTTGTTGGATGGACATGTCGAATGATAAAGGCCTCCTTCAGTTGCCAGTAAGCTAACCTGTGTAACTCCATTCGCTGTTATCTGCTAATAGCAAATTGACTAGATTCTGCATTATCAGTACTTCCTACGTAGCTTTGGCTAGCACTGGGCCTTCTCAACGTTTCAGTTCGTGTTCATGTGGCTGCTCCGTACTGGACTGCATGTGGGATAGTTTGTGACATGGTTAACTCTTCTGGGTCTGTGAGTGACGTAGGACCCGTTATTTTTGAAAGGTGGAGAGATGTCTGACAGCTTGGTGTAAGTCAGTCGATACCTATCAAACGTCTTTGCCGCACGTTTATTGATACTTCTTGATCCGGTTGTGTAAAGTTAGTTTAAAGCATGTCTGGATCTTCTTCAGAACATAGAATGTTAGTTTTATTGCGTCTGAACGTCTGTCGGGTGTGGTGTATAAAGAATGAGCTTGGTCCGCAATCCATTACGTAAGTAAAGTAAAGTTTGTCCCACTATACGCCATGTAGGCATTTGGGGTGATTGGAGGTATAGCTCCTCTCTTCCTTGACCTCGGCACTAGATAGGGGTGAGTGGTCAGCATCATGCCCCGGCCGGCTTTACCCCCGGGAAAGGACCCCGGTACCCATTGTAGAGGAGGCTGGGTGGGCCCCAGAGCCGGTCTGGACGCAGAGGCTAGAGGAAAAATCCTCCGCCCCCGTCGGGGATCGAACCCCGGTCGTCCAGCCCGTAGCTAGCCACTATACTGACTGAGCTATCCCGGCTCATAATCCATTACGTACTTAACAGAATTTCTGTTGTTGAATCTGCTTTCCGCATCGGTTGCCATATTCAGATGAGAGCTGTAGCCTGCTTCCAAGCTTTGTGGAGGATAGTCTTATAGTCGTGCAGAGCAGTCCAGCTTCATATAAATATGCATAACACGGATTACCAGCTTGTACGACGAGAAAGGCATACAGAGTGTCTGAACTAACAGCTGAGGAAGTAACTTTTACTTATCGCCTCGCCATATCAGTTTCGTGTGAAATTACGTTAAGTTTATTGTCCAGATGTCTTCTTTGTGAATTCTAACCGAAGAGTAGTGTGGTATATACCGCGCTGCGTGTTGAAAATTCTTTTAATTTTAAACTTTAACATAGAGGACAACTTGACTCGTGTCGGGAAAATTGTTTAGTTCTTGGCGGTAAGTCATGCAGGTCCTGCCAGGAGCCTGGAAGTGACAGTTGCACGTTCTATAAAACCAATTTAATTCCCATCCAAAATGAGAAGTTCACGAAATATCACGGCAAGTCAGTATCATAAGATTCTGATAGTCTTTGGGCTGTTGCGCCGTGTAGTCAACTGTTTATATATCGATATTTGGAAGAACATGCGGCCCTTCCTCTATGTTCAGGGTTGAAGTGAGGACCACTACTGAGGTTGAGGGAAAATCTCAAATCCTGATTGTATCTTAACTATAGCATTTGCACAGAAGTAAACATCAGGATACTGCAAATTAATCCATTGAATCAGTTGATAGCATCAGATTATTACTATTAATGCACCTAAACAACAATTAAATGCTGACGAGTCTTCTGCTGATTATGCTGATAACAGCCCTCCAGAATTAGTTTTTAATTTGCTATGCTGTCATTGTACTTTGCAAATAAGTGAATATAAAATCCGGCAGAATAAAATTCCATGAGCCAGTTGTATCTGTCTTCAATTGTCAGGCTATTAACCTTACAATGTCATGTAACATAATGTCATAAGTTAACATGTATGAAGATTAGAGTAACTCAGTCAATATTTTGAATATATCAGAAACATCTTTAGATACCACAGACATGGACCATGGTCTTTGTTAACTGGGGTTGCATGTGGGGTCTCTTTTGACATCCCCAGTTCTGCCCCAGACCTGTCCTACTCGAACACAAGGCTGGTCATATTCTTACATTGGGTTGTTCCAGGCGCACACTTGTTAGTGAGTGTTTCTGGTGGTGGTATTTAGAAGTAAAAACTACCTGTATGGACACTGTTGTTGGTATTTTCCTTAACTAATTTTCTTGTGTTTTTCTTGTTCTGGATGTAGGTCAGACTTGTCAAATCAGCAGCAGCTGCTGTTGAAGAAGAGTCGAAGTCACTCGTCCGTTTCGTCCAGCAACGACAACCAGCAGGCTTCCAGTAAGTTCCTGCAGCCCTCCACAGAGGAGACGAGATCCCATGCCTTTGTGGGAGAGGATGAAGGGTTCGTGAGAGGTGGGATACGTCGCAGTTTTACGCAGCCACTCACCGAACAGGAACTTCGCGACGCTGATGAGAAAGAAGTGATGAGTGGCACTAGTATCGCAGAAAGGTATGTAGGGCGGTGTTAAAAACAGTTCATTTTGTTCCCACATTGCAATGGGCAAATGGAGTATTTATTCACAATTTACAGTCTTTCTTTCAGATGCCTGTATAAGGGAGCATTAGCAGCTTTGTCACAACATAAAATGGAAAATTAATACACTTTTTCAGTGAATACAGCCGTCTTCTGGGTTGTAGCGCCGTGTGGTGTGGCAGAAGTTTACCGTCATTTCAGAGGTCCTTGCTGTCTCTGAAACGTTGACAAAACTTCTACCAGACTACACAGCACTGCAGTCCTGAAGACGGCCATCTATGTACTTCCTGCTGTAAGAACCTGAAATCCCTCTTTTGCAATACCTGAGCAAATGACCCACTTTTAGCCACTTCATTCGTGTTATGCTGATTAAGCATTGTGCCCTGTTTTGACCACTGGAGAGTTTTGATCTTGTTCTGAGTAGTAATCTGATATGAATACTGTGCAATTTTACCAGTTCCATGCTATCACATTACATAATGTGTCTGTTACCTACACTCGTTTTTACCTAACAGTCCGTTTGGCTAAATAAATTATAGTAAGGGGTCCGCAGTGGCCGCGCGGTCTGAGGCGTGGGCCTTATGCCGCTTGGTCGCTGGGACTGTGGATTCGAATCCCACTCAAGCCATGGATGTTTTTTTGTGTTGTGCTGTCCTGTGTACAGGTAGAGGCCTTGGGACGGGCTGACCCCTCGTCCAAGGAGTACTACTGAATGTCTATAGATCAAACCAACGAAAAAGTTAGGACCCGCAGTGCTCAGGCACTTAAAGAATGCTTCGTTCCCTGTATCCCAGTATCCGATATCCAGTAATTATAGTACAGACTATGAGTGTGTCTTATCAAGTTATTGGCTCCTTATAAGGTAACAAAAATAATGTTAACTTCAGGTATGTTAATTACACAGGTTAGAGAAACAGACCATAGCATTATGCTGGATGGCCTTGGCAATATCTTATCTTGTTGATGTCTTTCTTCTCTGTTGTGAGGTTAGGTTGGTTAGATACTAAAGAGTCCACATGGTAACACACACACATACCACAATCTGTGAGAAAAATATCAGTGCCTTCACCACCCAAGGACCTCAAATTTCATAATATTAATATTTTTTATCTTATTGCAGTTCTTCCCACATCAGATAATAAAAAATTCGTTTTCGTCATATGCATTCTCCATGACAGAAATTTAGGGACAATATTGATGTAATATTTATACAAATTGATGAAATGTATTTTGAATATTTACACTCATTTCAAGTAATAATTGATTTTAGTTGGTTTTATGTACCATAATAACATTATTTAAAGGCTGAACAACATTTAGTAGTTGAGTGCTCTAAAAAGTAAAGCCTGCCTGCTACACGCTATGGGGTGCTTGAGGGTAGAGGAGGTTCAGCTCCTGCTGGTTCTTGACTTGGCACTAGATTAGGGTGAATGGTACTTATTGGATGGGAGGCTGGGAGGGCCCAAGAACTGTTCTGGACATGGAGGTTAAAGGAAGAATCCTCTAATCCCCTGCCTCTGCCAGGAATTGAACACCAGTCATCCAGTCTATAATCATATGCTGTACTGACTGAATTACTCCAGCTCTAAACTTAAGTTATTCTGGTTGTCACAGATTAGCTGCACTCCAGAAGAGTGGTCATACAGACTGGAGAAAGCGTGTATCAAAGCTCAGCGCAGAAGATGACCTTACAATCATATGCAGCACTACTCAAATAAACCACCACCATCTTGTCAACCATGTAAGTGTTTATATTCAGTGGCAGGTGTAATGCATTCAGTTCCGAAAGTTCGGAGATTAAAAGAGAAAATATGTTACTGATTGCGGATTTCTCAGAGGATGGCTGGGCCAGGAGATGAAAAAAAGAGTGCCCCTTTTATGAAGCTGAAAGAGAGGATCAAGGGGAAGTCTTTGTCTTTGGAGAGAAGCTTCTTCTGTTCTTCTAGGGCTTCCATGACCCACCAGGGAAAACCTGACCCTTTTCTTTATGTTGTTGACCTTTGTCATCACTGCCACTTCCCTGATGTTCGCACCCCTGCATCTGAATTTCTTGGCAGAGGATGCTGGTGCCATTTCGCAGTATATAGTGGCCCATGTTTACAGTGCATTCGGCAAAGCCTTCCAAATGTGAAGAATGCTTTGTCTCACTTTTTTTTTTTTTTTTGAATTCATATTGTCAGTAACCATCTTTTCATGACATTGAATTCAAAATAACCTCTGTTTTTGTTCCAGTGTCATTAAATGAGTATGATGTGTACATATTTTATGGAAGGCTACTACAAAGCTTGGCCTGTCCATTTCAATATGATATTGACTATTTTATGTACCAGTTGCAACTCTCTCTTGAATTTATATTCATCCGTCTTTTGTTTGTGTTGATGACGATGGATGGATAGATAATAAGTATATTATCTAAGAATCGATATCATCTGCGTTGGGTTATTAATATAAAATTAAGTGATGTAATAATTACGTTCTGTGAACTTGAAAATATTGGGGGGAAAATGGTGCAAACGTATCGGAAGGTACTGTCTCGGCTTTCGCCTAGAAGGGCTGAGGAAAACTATTAAAACCCTCAGAATTGTCGATGGACTGGCCAAGATTCGACTTGGAGATCTTCCAAGTGCAAATCTGAGCCATCCTCATCTGTGCTTTTCATGACGGCAATTGGGGCGGAGTCAGCCTTTGCTGAGATAGGGTGTTTTCAAGCAACGTCTGAGGAAAACCACGAAGGATGAATGTTACTACCTTCATGGATTTTATCTACGATCTTATGAAATGTTACGGTGCTAAGTGTACTAAACTGATTTCTGGATGTTGTTAGTTATTGTAGCGAGTCTAATTGCTTTAGGTTAATGAAACTTTTAAAACTTCGAGACAGACTTTTTATACAGCAGCCGTTGCGTGTAGGTATACGGTGTTTAGCCATGGGGCGGAGGGAACAGGTAAACGGACGTCATAGCACTGAGTGTGACTACTATCTTTGTAACTTCATACTTGGCACGAATTGCCGTGGTCGCCGGTGAATTTATTTTTCTGTCTTAGTCACAGTTTTAAGTTGAAAGTCGAGAGTTATTTTGCTTCGAGTGTTCTACAGCATCAAAATTCTTCAGCGAACTTGAGTTCTTGAAACGTATTCAGATTCGTTAACTTTGCAATAACCGTTGATTTGTGAGTGAGTTGTCATATCTAGTGATTTTACAACATTTAACGCAAATACCAGTGCAACTAATTGGAAGGAAGTGACTTTCATATGACCCCAGTGTCTGCTTGAGAATCTAATTTTCTTTCTCATTTCCTTATCACGTAATTGGGATCAGGTGGTCACCGTGATATTGTCGCTGGAACTGTCTCTTCGTTGTGTCAATTTATGAAAGTCTGCATAATAATTATCAATACCTGACATGTAATTCGGAAACTGATAGTTGTTTATTGTATTTTACTGTTGCCCTGTATTTTATTCACGTCTTTATCGGAATATGATAAATAAATGTTCGACTAATATAGTTATGTTTGCGAGCTGTGAGTCACGAGAAAAGCGATTGGTCGTGACGTATTTTTAGCTGTTTTTTTTGTCTAATGACGTCTGCAATGTTGATAGTTTCTGACTTATTGTGATCTGTATTGAGAAATATATGCCTTTTTCTTGGCATAATTACAGAGAACAGGCACACAATCACAATCTGAGACAGGCGCCGAACGGATCTTTGCATCATCTGTCTGTGCTTTGTGATTGGATTCAGTTACCCTGTAACGGAACTTCTTTTGCGATTCCTTAGGTGTCCGCGGCCGATGTGTGTTGTTGAAGATGGGTTTTAGGGTTTGCGTTTGGATATTTTGAAAGTTCGTCCGTTTTCTTAGTTCTTCTGACTTGTACCATTTATGTTTTTATGTACTTCTTGCAGTCGTCTAGTCGATCTGGAAAAGCCAATCTACGTTCTATGATCGACCACCATGCATTTTCGATCACGAGGCAGTAACACTTAGGCCTACTTTTATGATCCCTTGCATTGGCAGGAAGTGTTGAGACATGGCGGAAGTTCTCGCTTGTGGATGGAAGCTTAGGCTAGCCGCGTAGTGGAAACAACAGCATTGCTGATAACTGTGTTGATTTGTTTGTAGGAAAACTGCACGATCCGTAATTTACTGTTTCCAGAAGCATCGAATCTTCACTTGTAGTTAGGAAGTGGAAGTGTTAAGCAGGATATGGTGTCCCCGAGTTATAAAGAAACTTGTGGAAACAGTGAAAATGATATTGTGCCTCAGAACTCAAATAAATGGATTTAACCAGTGTTTTAAGGCTGTTAAACTGGACACATAGATCATTGTCTTTTGTGAGTATGGGGAGGATTTCAGTTATATGGAATATCCACAATCTGAGAAACAGGAATAATTTAACGTGAAGGCTAGAGAAGTGGATAATTTTTCGGAGCATTGATTCTGTGGAAGAACCATGATCCGTCCTCACAGTTTTTCAATTTGTATACTGCGTATATAATAGCCAGTGTCCGTCACGGTTGACTGTGCAAGTCTTCGTGTGATACGGAAAAATTTAAATTAAGTTCTGATTGTGGCGACTTGTAGCAAGAAATACAAACGACGCTACGGTGGGGTCTGGCAGAGTCTGGAGTCAGGGTGTCGATTTTGTCAATCGCCACGAAGACATTTCGTGTACCTTACAAACAAAATTGCATTGCTCTTGAACACAAAATAAAAAGTAGCCACGAAGACATTTAGTGTACCTTACAAACAAAATTTCATTGCTCTTGAACACAAAATAAAAAGTTTTTTTTCTAATCGACTTTTACGGGTTATACGCTAGGTTAGTCACTTTATAAATGTCCTTCGACGAGAATTAGCAGACCGAAGAATATGAGTAGCAGAACAAAAGCAGGTTACAAAGTTCTTTGCACTAGTGACCGTAGTCTGCTGACTTGAATACGAAACGTCATTTATCAGAAAACTGAACACAATTACACGGTCTAGAAGAGATTATCAAAGCAGCTGTTAGACTGTCGTGATTTTTTTTTGCAACAATTTTCCGTTTTTCACAGTTTCCATCATTTCATAAATGGCCTTCGATGAGATTAGCAGACGAAGAAAATTGGTTAACAAAACCTAGGTAACATAGTTCTGTGCACCAATAACAACGATAATTCACTGCGTCGTGATATTTCCACTGACGCCCATTATCTTGCAGTAACCCTAGGATTATAATTGATTTGTTCCTACAAACGTCACTGCATAGCTGATAGATGGTAAGTGAACCCGCCACACGTCCTCTTTTTACGGCGTTCTGTGATAACCCAAGAGGTCTGTTGGTTGGCATTTGTTTGAACTTGTTGTTCATGAAAGCCTTGTTAGCCGCAGACAAATCGTCAGGGAGCGTATTGGTTAGTTCTGGTGATCGGGTCTCTCTTATTGAAGCTAACGTATTGTTTCTTTGCTGACTGGTGCCGTCAAAGATGTTTTCCCATGTTGCAGAATTGATATTCTTGGGAATTATAATTGTGCTCTGGTGCGCATTGATGTATGATGCGGTATTTAGAAACCATGCGGAGGAAGTGTTTCAGTAGTGTGCGCGCGTAATCGTTTGATGCATCGAAGGATTGTTCTGCTAAGAAGGTGTTGGAAATGCTGCCGATATTGAAGGATGGAAGAAGTGATAACTGCGAATTTACTGTAGCTCTCGTCACCTAATTTTTTTATCACGTTCTGAATGTCGTCTTTACAAATGTGAAGATAAATTTTGTGATTTGAGAAATGATCACTTTGTTGTTTTTATTTATATGTCGGATGAAGCAACAAACGGCGATAATTAAACGCCAGTAAAAGTTTGTCCCGCTATGCGCCATGTAGGCGCTTGGGGTGAGAGGAGGTATAGTTCCTCCCGCCAGTAAAAAATTAAATTGTGATACCAACTTAGAACAAAGGACACCATGGGTTACGGTTGATGAAATGAGCCAATAAGGGTGTGAACATTTTCACAATGTGGGGTGTTCCCTACTATCAAGTTACCGTTCTGAATGTATAAATAACTTCCCGATAGGAATTGCGAATGATTTCTAGAGATCGCAATGGAATAACGGAACGTCAACGCTGAATTATCTATCCTTGATATATAATTTGCAGGAACTCTTTATACCAGAATACCGAGAATCCGTTTGCATGTGCGAATGACATTTTGAAAAAATAAATAAATAAAAAGATTGTCTCAGGATAACGACATTTTTAACAAATTTTGTATGATTTCGGTGTTGTCCAGATTCGATTTTGCGTGAGGTCTTTGAATCGGTAGACATTGGACACTATGGGTAGTTTAAAAAATTCTGGTTATTGAAAGTTTTTGGCTGTTTATTGATTAATTTATCTAAAATGGCTGACATGGAGCTAACTCTGGAGAATTATGATACCGATGTACTTCTTTGTATAGTATCGATTAAATATGGCATCGACAGGATATCATTTCACGTCACAGTGGAATCGAACTTGAGATCTCGGTTTTGGTTTCAGCTTTCGGCTGAGTAAATGGTGATGATTTCTCGTAGAGACTCTTGCTTTTAGAATGAACGCTTGTGAAGCAATGTGAAATAGAATAAATTTATCAAAGAAGATAATATTAATTATGTGTGGAAGATCTTAGTGAACAAATGAGACAAATTTCCAGAGATTTTGTAGTATCGATATAAAGATTTGTGATCGTTTATTGTGTGAAGACAAGTCTTGGTCGATTATAGCAGCAACGCAGAAGTGGAAGATACATTTTACATGGCAGTGTGCGTTTAAAAGAAACAACAGAATGTGGTGGTTCCTGGTGGAATTTATGATTGGGGGGCTGACATTAGCAGTGGTGTATTGCATATGGCGGCGTTTGCAGGAGATCCAAATCACAGCAGAGGATGAGAAGGCGGTGGAGATAACTGAGGAAACACCGGGTGGCGGGAGTATCCTCGCGGATCGGCTCGGCAAACTTGATGCTGCGACTCAGGGATGGAAGAAGCGCGTGGGTCCTACCGATGCCGTCCAGTTTTCGGTGGCTGGCCGCATGATGATGGAGCACACAAAGAGTTCAGCGCCGACCTGCGCCGCCGACGTTGCGCTCACACCAGTTGTGCCTCCTTCACCACCGTCACAACTTTTGGGACATTCGTCCGCCGACAGGAAACGGAGGACGCCTCGAGCGGAACGGTTCAAAAGCAAAGCTGGTGAGTCAACTTCCTGTTTTTGGTACGCGTCAATTTCATCCAACAGCTGGATGACCGTAGGTTGGCAATCTCATGTACGCAGAAGATGGCTGGCTGTCTTCTGGATTGTAGCTCCGTGTAGTTTGGTATAAGAGTACCAACGTTTCAGAGGTTCGTGCTGCCCGCATCATCAGGGCAAACGTTGGTAAACTTCTACGAGAATACACGGCGTTACAACCGAGAAGACAGTCATATTCGTATCCACCACTGTCAGAACATTAAATCGTGCACGTACAATACTTCAACTTTCTTCCTCTTCTGAATTAAAAAGATTCGTTTTTTTAAATTTTTTATTGGGATACGTTGTTGTATTCATTCATCCATCCATCTATCATGTATTTCACTTCCTGAACCCCTTTTTGTGGTATGAAGTATCCTTACTGCAACATACTGATAAATGCGAATTTGTAATATTCAGAACAGTTGTAACTGTCACTTTTCTTGAAGGTTAAATTAACTCTTCTGTTTGTCTTATATTAATCCTTGACATTTTATTAGATATCAAAGGAATAAAAATGTGTTTTGTACAAGTTTTAAAGCAATATCTAATGATAATATAATTTATAAATTAATTTGCATGTTTTATAAGTAACCCAGTATTGTTTTTTATACTGGTTTGTGTTTGTCGACAGTATTACACAAGGAAGTCTCATCAACTCCTTCGTCTCCTCAAAAAGAAATGCTGGTCCTTTTCAAGCGCAGCGTATCTGCCCCAGGAGGAAAAGATGAAACAGGTAACCAGTTGGATAGTAGCTCATTCACACCTAGCCTTCTGTTTAACGAATGTCAGGGTCCCTCTGATGCAGGTATAATTTTCTTTCTAAAATCTTTTTAACCTGAAAATTATTCAGTAAAATATGACTGCAGTGTAATTTAAACTTTAAAAAGTACAGTGTCCCCCCTGATTAGCCAGTATTTATGAAACAGATTAGACAGATTTGTACTTGGTGTAGAATATTTTGTATAAAATGTCAGTCACGTGTCTCTTATTGATTTAATTGTAAAACCGCCAAGATTTTGTGGCATACAAGTTAACAGGTTGGCATAACAGTAACATGTTTGGAAGTATTTTTGGTTTTATTTCATTTTTCCACACATACTCAAGGGATATTCATTTTGAAAAATGGCAATCTCTTTACAATGCACCATTCATAATCAGACCATCAATTTATTTTGTGTTGAATAATTTCTGTAGTTGATATATCTTAATTAAATAACCTCTGAACCATTATTATAAAATGTTAAAATACTTTTAGCTGTTGTGGTGTTTAATATCTGTGGTTTGAATTGGATGATATGAGAAAGGATAAAAAATGGCATACAGTAGGGATCTGCTATTTTCTTTCTCATGTTGTGTAATTGGCTTATTGGCATTTCTAAGTTTTTCTTTGAATGTCTTACTTTGTCACTTGTGATGTCTTAACTTGTTCACATGACATGTTACAAAATGTAATTATTGTTAATATTTCACAGATCAGGATGGTTCACTGTGTCGTCCCAAGGTGGTCGTCCCCCGGTTAGATGATGAGACATTTACATCATTTTTCAGCAATAATATCTCCTTGACATCAAAGCCTCAAAGTTCAGAACAACTGGACATTTGTGTCGAGGACTTGGACCAAGTTGTCAGCCATTCCAGAAAATTGTAAGTTGCATTATATAACTACAGAAATAGTTGACGTGAAATCACCATCTTTCTTTAATGTGGATAGTACTAAATTTATTATGAAACTTGTCAGGAACAGCCGTACTTCCCGTATTTATCCTATGTAAGTCTGTTTACAAGCATATGTATATAGCCACCCTCCCATACACAAATACAAAAGCAGAAATATCTGATATCAGAATGTACTTTTAATTTTTGTAGTTTTATCTTAATTTTGAGTTTTACATTTGGACAGGAACATGTTATCTGGTTGTAGAATGGATTCTTTACAAAGTTGCCTTTCTTCCGAAATATATTCTTTGTTTTTGTTATAGTACATTATGGAAGTGGAAAAATGTCATGTAAGTTACATGGTTTATTACAGAAATAATATGACATTTTGGTACAGTTGATATAATTCCTTCTTTAAAAATGTGTGTCTCATTTTAATTAAGAGACACCACTTTCAGGACTCTAAAATGCAATTGTTATTGTCAGCTATCATAATCATTTGGTACATGTCAGTGTCTATATTAGCTTATTTGTCCTCTGAATCTGTATATCAAATAAGAATTCAAGAACACATTCATTGTTGACAAATTGCTGGAAGACATATCGCCAGTATTCCCCAGGTACCTGTTCTGGAAGTTTTTCTTCATCAATCACAAAATTTTCTATCTTGAATGTGTTCTGTAAAAAACAACAAAATTAACAATCATATAATGGGATAAATGTCTCATTTGAGATGAAATGTAAATGTTCACTTGCTCGCAGCAATATAAATCACATGCAAAATTTGTCAGTGTCTGTGGTCTGTTTAGATTCAAGATTGTTTTAAAGTTCGTTTGATTTTTTATAGATATTTCAAAATATATGACTGACGTGTTTGTAAAGAGCTAAATTTAGACATTTAAACTCCAGTGTCCTTCTCGCTCATAGCTCCAAAATCCGTTGTCAGGTCAGTGACATGTTATGAGCAGTAGCTGGTACCAGGGTCCATCAAGGCAGCAAACATTTCAATTTTGATGCATTATCATTACTTGCTACACAAAAGGAAAAGTGTGAACTTACAGCTGTGATGGGGCATTTATCCGGATAGTTACTCTGTCTTATTATGCCCTCCATGAAATATGGATCACTTGTAATAAAGTCACACCAGGTTTGGTTAATATGCACGACACTTGTTTGCCACTTGTTGTTTTGCAGTTCATAACTCTGAATATTGACCTGTAACATAAGCATAACTTATATTTCATTTATTGATATAATGTTAGATGGCAATTAGTTAATTTAATAGCATTACTTCTATATCTGTGTTTTACTCTTTCAAAATGAAAGGGTTATGAAGGATTGTGGAATATCTTCATTCTCTTATCATTAATTATAATATGGTGGCCATATGTAAGCAAATATGGCAGATTTCTTTATGGAGAACATGGTAAGTAGTTACAAAATTGGTTAGAATTAACACCTAAAATACCCTTCACATTGTAAGTTATTCCACTGCCATTTACACTACAGATGCCTCTTTTTAGAGAAAAATCATAATCATTTTGCATGAGATTATGGTTATACAAAGCATCTGCTAGTAAGTGGCTCTGCTGATAATGTACTAAAACATAAGTATGCTGCTTGCAATTATGGTAGGAGTGAGTATGCATTAATTGTGACTGTGGTAGACGGAAGGTGATGAAACGGCGTGAGTATCAGTGATGTTATCGTGGCCAAAATGCTAAGTCTTGGTTAGAATTATGGTGTGTAGCAGACATGAGATGTTCTTGGATAAGTTTGAGACAATGTGTCAAATGAAACTGATAGTTTGGTAGTGGGGTTGTGATTCCTATTAAAATTGGCTCCTCCCTCTCTTGCCATGAACTATATTTAGAACTCACTGTAGTATCAGTTGGAAGGTCTTGTAGCAGGTCCATAACTGCATTTATCGAGTCGGTCGTCTCATTGTACTTGTTTATCTCGAACTCTGTGTCTTCACTGTAATACCCCGGATGAACATGTTTCAGTTCTGTACCTTTGATAAGCACGTGGTAGTTGCGCTGCAAGAATTGTTATATTACGAAACATATTCTCCATTTTATCCAGTATAGAAATCATCTATGGTTTAGCAAAAGTTTTATGTTTAAAATCAATTAATTAAAAATAGGTTAAGTGGAAAACTGCTTTAGTAAGACCCATTTGTACAGGTACCCCATACACAACAGGTAAACAGAACAGATTTTGTACTGTTGGGTATACAGAATTGAAAAAGTGAAATAAAAAGGTTACTTTACCACTGCATGACTTGCTGAAACCATACACAAAAGCAGCAGACACAAGTTGTGGAATGCCATGATGTTGATCCTCTCCAGAGTGCTCTGAAGCTGACAGCATATGAACTTATTTATATATGCTGTCTCAGCTTGATGACAGGAAACTGAATAAACATGGTATTGAGCTTTTTAAAATTAGATGTGTCAGGTGTTTGAAAATTGATTACCGGAACTTCATTTTATTACATAGATTCAAGAATCAGCTATGTGGTTGACATAAATGCTTCATAATTACATATTTCCAACTAAATTTTGTCAGAAAAAATACAACACTTTCGTGTAATGATGTCATTTTTGGGGAGCTAAAAGTTATCTGAACCTGTAAACGTACTGTCCAAATACAGCCCTTCCAGTGTACTTGATAAGTTCATTATTCTAGTGAGATGATAGGCAATCTGAATGTACTTGTACATTTTTTGTTTTAATTATTTAAGTACTGGCTGTTGAGGTTTGAATTTTATAGAAAGTTTACACTTGCTTAAAATGGGCGCTTGTAGTGTGGGAGAATATATGTGTAGCTTGTGCTGCTTTTAATTGGTTGACTCTGATTATTTATTAAAATTTTTCAACTGATTAGGTTATGCTACTATAAAATGTACCACTTTTGCATGCACATGAAGGATCTGAGGAAAGTTTGATGGTATCAGTTTATATATACAAAACAGGATCATCATTAGTGTCATATGCCAGTCTCATTGTAGGATTGTCATTAGTGTCATATGCCAGTCTCATTGCTTATTGGTTTTGTATACCATGTGAGAAAATGAAGTGAGGTGTTGGTTGAATGTTATCAGATTCTGTTTCCTGTTTACAGTTGTGTTGCCTGCTTGTGTCGTGTAATGTACCATTACTAATGTTTATTTTAATCTTTGGTGACTAGGTCATGTATGGACTGGCTTTCATACTACCACATTTCTCAAGTATTCGTAAATTTACTTACAAAGAAAATAAATAGTGTAAAACCTGTTATTGAGTCTACAAGTATAATATTTGTGATACTCAATATTTATTATGAAGAGGACATAGAGAAGTGAATTTCTAAATGTTTTTAGGGAACCTTATGATAATGACAGCAGTTTTTATTGTTTCTGTAATGTTACATATATTCATCATCCTCCCCTCCTATTTTTACAGGATGTTTAGCAGATGTGAACAATGATGGGTATGTAAATGCCCTTTCTTTTTCTGACTAAATCACAAAAACTTACATTATAATTGTTATACTAATAATGTTTGAATTGGATTTTGTTTTACTTGCAGGTTGGTACAAAAGCGTACTGTTAGATTTCAGCGTAAGGTCACGTCATCCCGCAATCCCATCAAGGCATTGGCAGCGCGCACAGATTTGCGGGATGAATATGTTGAAGTGCGGTCAGGAGTTGCAGATAAAGAACTCAAGAGGCTGAATATTGAGAAATGTGAGTGCTCACTAGGTATAACCTGTTCAAGGTCCCCAGTGAACAATTTTAAACCCATTGGATACCAACAAAAATGTTCAGTAATCATAGCATGCTCATAGACACGGTGGTCTAGCTATTAGAACGCTGGCCTTGTAATCCTGGGGGTCTTGGGTTCGATTCCTGGCGGTGACACAATTTATAACTTGTGTTGGGCAAGGCCGTGGTCTAGGCAACACGGAGGTTTCCTCCGGGGGCTTCCCCGGTTTCTCCGTGGCATCCCAACAATTACTCCATTCACACAGAAGAAGGCAATGGCAAACCACTTCTGGATCATCTGCCAAGAACGTATATGAACAGGTCCCAGTCCGAGAAAAGGTTGGAAGGATCCTGTTCATATGGACCTGTCGTCAGACAGAACACTAAAATAATAATAAATAATCATAGCATGAAAATACAAGAAACACCTCCAGAAATATTCAAGTAACCTTTTTGAATTGTAATTACTGTAATTGCTTAATGCTCAGTAATTCAGTAATTGCTGTTATGATCAGGAAAACACTTTCGGTCTGTATGTGACATCATTTATATTGTCTAGGAAGTTACTTGGAAACAAAGACTGAAAATGTGTATGTGGAAATTTGTACCATACTTTTTCACAGTGGATAGGGCATTATTTGAAGTGGCTTAAAATTAAGGATGTCATAAATGCATAGGATCTTGAAGAAACAGTCCCAGTGCTTAAAATTAAATATGAAGAATGGTAATAATATGTAAATAAAAGATATGAAAATGGATATGAATTCGAGAAACATATCTGTAAAAGGGGTGAGAAGTTTCAGAAACACATTGCTAAAATATTAAACTGTATGAAATCATAATTTTGTCCACTGTTTTTTTTTTTTTGATGTGAACCTTCGTCTCACATTCTGATGGAAGAACTAAGATTTAAGGCATTTGAAATGTATTGTGTGTGTAAAAGTTAGGAAGAAGGCAATGTAATAAGAGAATAGATAAAATTCTTTCAGATCTTGTCCACTTCTGAAATGTAGTGAAGGTAATTGTTCAAAGGATTAGTCATAAACATTGAATTACACCATAATCAGAAACCTCTAGACTTTTATAATTTGTGTTTCTACATTATTGTTGCTAAAGGCTTAAATCAAGAAGGTTAAGATGAACAGGACATGTAGAATTCAGGCATCAGTAAAGAATGAATACAAAATTTGTGTTGAGATCTTGCAGAAAAGAACCTCCTGAGAAAAAATTAAATAATTGGAGGGTAACTAACATTCAAATGGATTTGAAGTGGATTGAACTGGCACAGAATAATATCTTACTCTGAAGTGTTATGGTAATAGTAATTGATTGGTCAGGCTCCAGAGCAGACTGACATTGCACAGGGAACTTTGTCAACTGCATAGACTTTTCTTTTTCAGTGGCAAAGAACTCGCCTCTTGCAGTGGAGGCACTAGCTGGCCTGGCAAGCAAAGAAGACTTCACAGCTGTCTCACTTAAGAAGGCTTCTTCACCGTCAAATGGTAACATGTTGCCATACAAAGACTTGATGCTACTGCAAGTGAAGGGCCGCCGACATGTGCAGACAAGACTGGTTGAGCCAATAGCAAGCAGTATTAACAGTGGGGATAGCTATGTGCTTGTCACTCCCACAGAGGTCAGTATTACTGATAATGAACATATGAATTAGACAAGTATGTTAACTGTTATAAGAAGCCATAAATGTTGAAATGCTTATAGAACTTTCTCCTTATAAAAGTGGGTAAATATCAGAATTAATACTAATTTGTACAGACATTTTTTTTATATGGAACTTAGTTATTAATAATACTACTTACAAGTCTGTTTAGTCACTCAAGTGTAAATTTTTGTATTAAGTAAATAGTCATTTAGAGAATTCCAGTCTCTGAGTTCAAAGTTTTCTGTTTTCTTCCCATGTGCATTTTAAATCTCTGGAGTCTATGATGTAGCGTTGGTTGCTGTGTTAACGTCTGGTTAACATAGGATTACTGATGTTATGTTTGCCTTCTACATGGAAACTGCTTCCTAATTATTGTTGTTTCACTTTACCCACAGGTGTATAACTATATTGGTCGATATTCCAATGTGATTGAACGTTCTCGTGGTGCAGAAGTGGCCTTGAACATTCAGCAGAAGAAGGATTTGGGTTGCTTAAGTTCTCGACAAGTGCTTACTGTCTCAGAGGAGAAGGTGACTTGTTCTAGCTCACAAGTTGAGAACTTATGGAAGCTGCTGGATGGAACCGGTTCAGTCTCAGGGGCAGGTCATCCTGATGAAGATGAGTTGTATGAATCAGCCATCATTGCCACCAACATGGTGTATGAAGTCCAGGATGATGAACTTGTTCCAGTAACTGAATACTGGGGGACTATACCGAAAATAGAGATGCTGGATCCTAATAAGGTACAGGCATCTGTATTCTGTTAAAATCAGTACTGGAAATAGAACAGTTTTGTGTCCTACAGACTTGTAAATCTAGAGCAAGTTATGTTTTTTCACAAAAATTTGAGATTCATATCTAATAGCCCAGTAGGAAGTACCACTTATTTTTTTTAAATAAACAAAAATATATTGATGTAGTCTTGAAGTATGTAAATTCATACTAAAAATGTGTACCAGCTACACTTTTTCATGTTTCACAATTGTAATTTCAAAACGTTATCAGTAGCATTGCACTAGTTGTTGTATTACACATGACTAAAATTGTGCCATAGAAATGAAGTATACATACCTCAGAGTTGGAAAATTAATGGTCCATTGATGTGTTATATATGAATGACAGTAGCATCTCTTTGAAAGTGTAAAAAATATAGGTGTTGACCACTGGAAAGACCCAAGATGGGGTAGAGATACCATGGTAAAACCCACATTGGTTCAAGTATCAATTTATTGTTGTTATTTGTGGTGATAGTATTAATATTATTGTTATTCCCACATTGTGCATGGGATTGAAAGGATATTATATTCTTGAAACAGATTTTAGTAAAGTTAGTAGAGTCTATTCGCACATTTAATGACAAATTTCTTACATTATTTGTGACCTGATTTTCTGCTTCTTTATGAAGTTTAGATAGGTACTGTTAAACATAACTGAACTGATCAGATATTGATGTAATTTGCAGTAGTACATACTTTAAATGTTTACTTGTTCACAGATCTTGGTGTTTGACTTTGGTTCAGAGTTATATGTGTGGAACGGAAAGAACGCACCTCTAGACAGACGTCGAGTGGCAGCGGGTCTGGCCCAGGAACTCTGGAATCAGGGTTATGACTATTCTGAGTGTGATGTATGCCCTCTCACAACTGCTGCTATACTTGGAAGGCGTGATGAGCCTAAAGTCAGTAGTAAAGGGACATCCCGTCCAGACTGGGCTCTTCTTGCCAAGGTAACACAGCACATGGAGACAGTGCTCTTCAGGGAGAAGTTCCTTGACTGGCCTGACTTCTCACGTGTAATAAGAACCAAGAGCGGAGATGATGAGGAAAAGCAAGTAAGAACATCTTTCATGTTTCTGACTTCTGTAATTAGTAATAAGAGTATAAAACCAGTATTACGGCTTCATAAATTACAGACGTGGTAGAAGCATTTTTCACTTCATTTTGCATAAAATTTGGTTTGTTTCTAAAAATTGTACTTGCAAGGCTTTTTTGTTTGGTGCCATTTGTACTTTTACACTGGCTGTAAATGATTCTATAATACCTTGAGTGCTGGCAGTGAATCTGATTTTTATATAAAACAGGTGCTATTGCAGTTTCTTCTTACGATATTTGGGATCTGATATAAATACATTCATTTTTAAAATGTGTGAGAACCTAATTTTCCAGTTATTCTGTGTACATCCATTATTATATAATTGGCATTTACATTAAAAGTATTTTGTAAATATTCACACTACTGATGCAGGTGGATGCAAGCATTGACATCAAGCCATGTGATGTGAAACACATGTTAACACCCAACACTGGTGATCCTGACCTGGAACTGGAAGGAAGTCATGTTGGCCGTGGCTCCCATTATTATGACAGTGAGGTAATTATGAATTATTGACTACTTCAAATTTAAATGTAATGTGATAAATTTACATTGATCTACATAATATAATAGCAGTGTGAAGCATGGATGAATATTGCAATGTGGTGCTTGTTGTGAACTTAGTTCTGCTTAGTATGGATCTCCCAATTATTATAGTGTCTTTTGTGTCCAAACTCTTCAAATAAACATAACCTTCACAACATAATTTTGTATTTCTTGTGTATAGAACTGAAATCTGAATAAAATGAACCAGAACTTAATAAATCCTGGCAGGTAGTGCACATGCAATTCAGCAAATAATTTTATAAACTTAATAAATCCTGGCAGGTAGTGTGCATGCAATTCAGCAAATAATTTTATAAAATGGAAGTGTCAAAACAAGGTACATTTAGAGTTGTAGGTTCCATGCTCTTATACTGCAGTACTCTGGTGGATTTTTATATTTTAATTCTCTAAATATGGTATAATTCTTTGCTACAGACTCATCGTCATTATGAAATCACAACACTGGGTGTTTCTGTTTGGCACATTCTTGAGTATGAACACACACAGCTCCCAGAGTCGTCTGTAGGACAGTTTCACAGTGGGGACAGTTATGTGGTGCGCTGGCTTTATACCATTACTGTCACAGGTAAGTTAATGGTAGCTCAGAATGTACAGCAGAGATACATAGCAACTTTATTAACGTCATCTTTATTAATACCAACACATCTTTCATATGAATTCGTATAGGGCGAGAGTTAAGTGGACAGCCATCGCGTCACTCAATGTTGGGCCGGGATCGGTGTGCTTACTTCTGCTGGCAGGGCAAAGAAGCCTCCCTGAATGAGCAGGGTGCAGCTGCTCTTTTGACTGTGGAGCTGGACCGGGAGAGAGGACCTCAGGTGCGAGTTGTTGAAGGCGTGGAGCCCCCAGCATTCCTTGCTCTATTTAAGGGAAACATGGTTGTACATTCAGGCAGGAGAGAAGATGGAGGAGGGGACTCTCAAGAAATTGAGGGTTAGTTGAATATCACATTAATTTTGTAATAGAGCTGAAAGAATACGTACAAATGAATTCATATGAATTTGATGAAATAACTTTGGTATGAGATGAGACTGGTTATCTACTTACAGGTTTCTGCATTTAAATTTCTTGAAGTGCAGGTTGGGTAGGAAAGTATTGTGGATTTTGTGTCAGCTAACAAGCACTTAAAAGTAAAGCTGTACATAAGGAAATATATTTTCTCTAACAAAATAATTACCTTTATAAATAGTTTAATTTTTCTGACCTATTTACAGTTTATCATCCCTAATCAGACAGTCTATGAAGGAACAATAATTGAAGTAACATGAATATAAATAAACCATAAGTTCAGATTTGAATTATTTTGAATTTGTGTTCTTATACCTGTAGGCACTTGGCGGCTCTACATTAGCCGAGGGGAGCTGCTACAAGAAGGTATTCTAGTTGAGGTACCCTGTTCTGTTCGCCAGCTGCGCAGTAGAGCATCATTAGTCTTGCTGAATACTGCTACTGGTACCATATTTGTTTGGCATGGTGCAAAGTCTCAACCCCACTCTTGCAAGGTAGAGTTACATTACACCAGCTGAGTTGTTGAACAAAACAGTTTTCAACATGGCAAAATGATGTTCGTACCACCTTATTTCCTGAGTCAGGTGTCTTACTGACACTTGAATTCATCAATTTCACACTGAAATTTCAATCAGCATTTATAGTACTTGCATTATAATTGAAATCCTGAAACACATTATTGAAAGGTATAAAACAGTATAGCACAGTGGTATGTGTTTTGAAGGTGCCTGATTTTAATTTATCATGGACCAGCTATACTGATAAAGGTTTTCCTCCCTTCTACCATACTCATGCCAGAATGATATCTTAAAATGAGCCATAATTACCTTCTGTTCCATCATTCATTAGCATTCTGTCACATCTCAGTTCATTGCTTTGTTAACCTGACCAGTTGATACAGTTCATATACAATAGATTAACCAAATAAATAGTTATGGATAGACAGAGTAGTAATGTATATGGCTGCAGTGGCTTGCCATTTTCACCCGTCAGTTTATGGCCTGTGCGTGCCTCTTCCCATTTCTCAGCACCCATCACTGACTGTGGGTAACCAGACTAGTAGTCTCCTCTTTACACTCCCCTCTGCTTGGCACTGATGTGTTTTCCAAGCACAGGAAGGAAAATGTATTCAGTCAGAACAGAATGAGAAGGATAGTTTGAGTTCCCATTGTAATTAAGAAAGGGCATTGAAAAGTTGACATTAATTTTATATGTTTCACAGATTGCTTTGGCAGCAGCAAAACAGCTTAAGACTTCCAGGCCAGCAGAAGTTGGATTTTCATCTGATATTGATATTGATATTCAAGAACTATGTGAGGGTTCAGAGACAAACTCATTTTTTCGAGGTGAGTTTCATTGTAACCCTAATGTTAAAATAGTTTGTCACATTAGACTGTAGTGTCTTTGCTGCATGATCCAACTAATTTCTTGTGTATCAGTGATTTGTTAATGATTTTGTAACAGTTTGTGGTAATGGTTGAATCATCATACAACAGTCTGGTTGAATATGTCCATTGTCTGAGGTAAATTTCATATACACACCATCTGAGGAGTTGATTATACTTTCTTCAAATGATTTGTTGCCGTTATACACATCTGAGGAGTTGATTCGACTTCTTCAAATGATTTGTTGCCGTTATACTGATTGATTTTATTGTTTTTGTTACATATACTGACTGCTGGCAATAAATAACATTCAAAATAAAAATAATATAAGCCGTCTGTAAGAATGATGACCAAGTACCTAAAAGTGTAACTACAGCTATGTCCAAAAATGTTGTAAGTCTATATGTTACACATAACAGACATTGAACTACGTCCAGCATATTTGTTTAATGGTCAGTGGTAACTACATGAACTACCTGCTGTGAGATTGTATATCAACATTTTGCTTGCAGAATATATTTATGGGATTTACTACATGTAATGGAGACACATTGTTTTTTCTTTAAGACAGGAACTGAATGGTACTTGGAAAATGTAAACATAAAGAGGAGAGATCTCTTGCCAAATCAAAAGGTCTGCAGAACAAATTTGCAGAACAACTCCGGATGTTTTATCCAAATTGTGAACTTCTGCAGTGCAGATCTGATATTAATCCACAGTGAAGGGCTGATGTTGGAGCATTTCAGCTTAACCAGTCAGAATCAACATTAATAGAACTGTGTGCTGCTTGAGGATAGTTGTGTGTCTTTGATGAAACAATGGATGAAAGTAAATTAACTGTATGATGGTTTTCAAAGTAAAAATTTTTGTACACAATTTTTAGGCATAATCATAACACAGATTTCACATAAACTGAACTATGGATATTAAATTAATAACTCTTTCAAAAATAAGTTGGGATATTTTTAAAACTAGCATCATACAGAATTTCAAATTCCTATGTCAGCTGCTTCAGTTGCTGATTCACTTCAAATATTCCCGTGGTGGCTTCTTTGCTGTGAACAAAGGGAATTAAATGTAATGTCTTCAAGGACATCCCAATAAATATTGCTTTCCAGTATCTTCATACATTTGGGTACTACATACAACACATTCCTTTATTGGTGTCCTTGTTGCCAGCACTGCTGCTGCTTTGTGATATAATTATACTTCACTAATTTCTTTTATCAGCTTTGGGTGGAGCCAGTCGACATCTCTATGTCTCTCTAATGGATAATCCCAAGACATTCAACAAAACTCCTCGCCTGTTTCATCTAAGCAGTATGTCAGGCACATTCTGCTGTACAGAAGTTTTAGGTCCATACCGCAGTTCAGAAACTGTTACTTCTTTCCCATTTCTTCAGTCAGATTTATATTCTGCCAGCCAACCAGGTAAGCGGTCATGTAGTTTCCAAGTTTGATAAAAATTTGATGTCTGTAACATGTTCTGTTAAATTAGGTGTGACTAAGGAAAACTGAGTAATCGGTTAAGACTCTAAGAAAACGCACGACATTACATGCACAGAAGTTGAAAATGCATCGTGGCCAGATGCCAGACATGTCTAGACTCATAACAGTTTATGTCTAATGAACTCAAAACTCAGTATAGTATGAAATCAGGTCATCCAGAAATTAAGTTCTTGTATTTATTGTAGCTCTGTTCCTGCTGGACAATAGTGCAGGAAATGAACTGTGGCTGTGGCAAGGCTGGTGGCCTGACCACCAAGGGGAGGAAACTGAAGGCTGTGATGCAAGGGGCTCGGGTGCAGTGCGATGGCAAGCTGAACGACGCGCTGCTATGCAGACTGCTCTGGACTACTGGCAGCCACAGCATGAAAACAGGGACACTCCAGTTGCTTACTTGGTGTGGGCAGGACTTGAGCCACTTCAGTTTACCAACTTGTTTCCTATCTGGACAGATAGGGATGACATAGCAGAACTTAATATAAGGGTAGGTATTTCATTCCACCATTATACAATCAAAGGTGGTGTATAGTTATAGGCCTGAAACAGATTGATGTCCACATACAAATAAGTCTTCAGGTAATTGATTAGGATGTGTTCTTTACACTTTAGCATAAGGGAAGAAAACACTATGGGCCCATTGATTTGTCTATCATGTCTTTCACCTAAAATCTTTCTGTGATCTATTGGTGGTCACGGAAACGTTCTGCCCTATAACAAATCAAGAATGGCTGATCAGATTTTCCATTAATTTGTGGAAACTTATGACAGAAAGGAAACTACCAGAAATACCCAATTGAAGTCTTGTTAAGGTACCTATTCCGACATATTATGAGATCAGTTTTTAGTCGTAGAAAGGAATACAAGATGAAAAAATTCAGATATTAGACAACACTTAAAAATTTGAAACCTGACAGAAAATACAGAACAACAAATGATACATTGGTAGAAAAATATCATTAGAATGGTCAGTGAAAGACTTCCAGAGTCCATCCTACATTATAAAGCAATGGTATGCTCAGAAGAGGATGGGGTGATCCATCATCATCAAGGTAGACCTAAAGCCTGTTTAATCATATACAAATCTTCGTAGGTTGTCCTTCCATCTTCTCAGGTGTCTGATCTGTTCATTTTCCCTCCTGGCAGAATAGGCTTTGAAGGACTGATCCATATAGCTGAATCAACATCACAAGTTTAGCCTTGGTGTCTCGGTGACTGTATACCTCTCCCAACTGTGTGTGCTATCCATTGCAAGATTTAATGAAAGCTACATGTTTGAGCTTCTTGTTGCCTGTGTCATAGGATGGACGGAAACCTGGGGAAGTTTTGAAAGTAGAGGAGGAGCTGGCTAGACTGACTCGTTCCACATATCCTGTGGCGCAGTTGCTGCAGAGACCCCTACCAGATGGAGTGGATCCAACTCGTCTGGAACTGTATCTGGACCCACAGCATTTTCAGGTAAAAACATACAAAACTCATTCACATGAATCACACAATTGCTTAGATTTCAAATTTTTTTTCCTGAGGTTTGGTGTTATTAAATACCTCTTATAATGAAAACTGAACTATTGTAATGATTTGATTGTGTGTAGTTTTGTTATAATAATGATTGAATACAAATGTATGAAAATAATGTAACCCTCAACATTATTCCTTCAAGTGCGAATCAGATTTCCCCTCACTCTTGCATATTTAACTGCCACAGGCATGTAAACATGATCTATCCATTCTTCCATTATGATATGCTGTGCTATTTTGTTTGTGGCCAAGGAATGGAACAAAAAGAAAGTTTTATTCAAGCATACATAAGTAGGTATTATAAACTAGTACTTTGATTTTTGCAAGATAAACAGAAATTAAACAAAACAAATATGGTAATGTGTTGTCTTTTGTTTTATCTTGCAGGTTTGAAGAGCCTTAGTAAGCATCATGACTTATTTAAAATGAAAATGAAGAAAGGGTATGTCTGATATCATTCTTATTGGTTGTTATAGGAACTGCTTGGAATATCTAAGGAAGAGTTCTTGGATCTGCCTACATGGAAACAAACCAAGATCAAGAAGGAAGTGGGTCTGTTCTGATCATTGGCCTACAATCTTGTAAGATAATAAAATATGTAAATGTGGCAGTCACAAGCCATTGACAGAGATTGTATCTCTCCTTGAGTAAGCCACATAATTTACAGGGATGATGTGGAAAATATTACTTTCATTCACCATGCAAATGACAACCATAGAGCTTAATTTTATTACATGAATTTTGATACATACATTTACAAATAAAAATTGAAGATATTTCATGTATATGTAGACAATTATGAACCTTCAAATGCTTGTATATTTGTTAATTGTTCACTGAATGTGCCCATTTTAACCAACATTATCATAAATACTGGCTGTGGATGGCATTTTACTGGGAGAGGACAATATGTATTGTTTGTAATAACTGTTTCATCATCTTTTGCACCTTGAAAGTCTTAAAGTTTTGTTATTCACATTGGAATATGATGGCCTCATAGTGACTTTCAAGATAATGATCTGTGTCTAAATTGGTTGACTTATTCTCCACGACCTTGCTCAATGGCACAGAAGACTCACTTGAAACTGTACCAGCCATGCAGTAACCTGTGAGTTGGGGTAGTCAAATTTTCTCATGTCACAGCAATTACAGCTGGGTTGATCATTGCATGTTTTCTTTGTTCCTATACAGATGAGTGAGGAGGTGTGTGAATATTGTATAAAGTACAGAATGTGTCTCTGGTGCAAGTAGTAGCACTGTGTCTCAAGTAATCCAGCAATGATGTGGTGATAACAGGCTGCTGATATTGTATTTGTGTGTGTGTGTGTGTGTGTGTTCATGCGTGTGCGCTTGCGTGCGTATGAAAGAGGCAATGAACTCTGTGCCACATCAGTAAAGCATTTTGGTGTTTAAGGTTGATTCTTATTCCTGTGCCTTTAACACAAAATTATGGTTTTACTTTGTAAGAATAAAAAATGACGGGAACCAATTGGCATTGGTAACTGTAAAGCTTCTAGTCCCTTATCTTGACTTCTCTTTTTAAACAGCGGTATTCTAATTCCATTAATTATGTGCAAGAATATGAATTTTAAGAAGTGTGATTATTGCCAATGTTGCCTTATGAAAATATGCTTCCTTTTGCTGTATATCCTGGATTTTCAACTACTTCATGTATATAATGACCTATGTGTATGATAAGCCAGTTTAGTTAACAATGCAAGTATGTATTTGAGGAATTGATTTGTGCCAAATTGTAACATACTTTCATTTTATAATTATATTATCAAAAGAAACTGGAACATTTACATTTAATGCCTTAAAAGATGTACATTTTCAATATGGCATGGTGACTTACAGGCAAGGATGAAACTAGATACTGTTGCTCTTTTGACTTTTGTCGGTCAGGAGTTGCACTACAGTGCCACTATTATATCAAGAAGCTGTGAATATTAACAATTACAGATTTTTTTGGCAGAACTGTGACATTCATTCTTATTTTTTGTACATAACATTTTCATTTGTACAACTAATATAATATTTAAGTTATGCTTAATAAGTTAATAAAATGTAATTTACACTGCAGAATTTATTTACATTCTCTCCTCCTTTTGCGCAAGTTAATGTGGGTAGGCCCCGATCAGACTGTCCCAAAGCTACAGAAAATGGGAGAGACTAGTGTACAACCAACCAAAAAGCTAACTGAGGGCGGAGGCCTGCTCAAGCGCAAGCATCGTCCCTACCTAGGTGAAACCATTCCTGCGCACAAGGCGCATTGCTGGAAATGGTAAAGGGTCTTAATATAAAAAACGGAAATTTTGCTAACGCTAGCGGGGTTTCGTCGTGGCGGGAGCCTCGACCATTCAAACTGGGATCTGTTGCTGCTGATGGGAGGTTATCCTGTCAGGCAAGTTGTCCAAAGGAATTTGGTTGGTTGGATCTCTGGGGTTTGAACCCAGAGAGGGAGGGGCCGTTTCGGCTGAAGGCCTCTGCGGCATGGGGGGAAGATCACTTCAGCTGATGGCCACCATGATCGGGGGGAGGGGGGCGGGCCGTGCCCCTATTAAGTTATACCCTGGCATTCGCCTTACAACTGAGGAAAAGCACGGAAAACCTCAGTCAGGGTAGCCGAGTAGTCTAACCACTCGTTGTGCCGACTTGGCCGTCTTTTGGGGACGGCCTCGGCTGGGCTGCTGAACATCGGTCGCCCTCGGTTGCCCTTGGGCGACCTCTGGCAGCCCTCGTTCGGCACGAGTGCCTCCCGAGTTGCCGGACTAAGGGGTTCCCCACACCAGCTAACCTCGAGTCAAATCTCTCAGTCAGTGCTCTAGACTAGTGTACACAAGTTTCATCACCCTTATAAGGAAACTCGTACCGTAATGAGGGTGGCTGCACCTAACGGGACGTGGTGGTTATGCTTGCGTAGTTCATACATTGGACACCAGGAGATAGCACCTACATCGCAAATAGACAGCGCTAGTAACTTGCTGCAGTGACCTCGCATATCCGAAAAGCCGGACACAAACTCCAGTTCAACACTTCGTTTAGCTGCAGGTGCGCACTCCTGTCGCCAAGCTCCGAACGATAGTTACCAAGTGCTGCAGTTATCTCTTCGCATGTCCTTTAGCTCGTTTAAACTGCAGGTGCATAATCTTGTGACCAAACTCTGAACTAATCTCCCAAGTACGGCTGTTTCCGCATGGCATAGCCAGATTCAAAAGCGGTTTCAAACTCCGAACGGTTTGTTACAAGTGCGCATTCTTGTGGCAAAACATTAAACTATGTGTACCGCAGCTACTACAGGTTCGCACTCTTGTGGCCAAACTTTGAATTATATCTATATTTCGTTAAGCAGGCGATCAATGATGACGTACAAAACTTTTGTTTTAATGTTTGTTTTTTGCTATCTATTATCTTCTAGATTGCAGCGGCACAGATGTTTGTATAGTACAGTATCACTGTGTGCGAGTATGTGCTGAGGTGTGTTCTGAAGAAATTTTGTATGATTAACATTTGCTCTCGTCAGTTGGTGTGACTGAAAGCAGGGGGAGGGGTCGACATTAGTCGCCAAGACTTCAAGAAATGTGTTTATTCATTTGTAACGAGTAGTATGGTGTGAGATTGTTCTGGTCCGTACATAAACAACCTTCAGAATGAATACATTACATGTTTTGTTTCATCTGATATTCTTATCTCTAGCAGCGAGAAGTTGGGGTGAGTATTCACGAAGTGGAAACTTATTTTTAGCTGTTTTATTTCCGCGGGATTTGCTTTTGGACAGGTCGTCTGCTTGAAAGAGGCCACAAGTAAGCGAGTTTACTGCCATCGAGCTTCCGGCACGAGTCACGTAGGCTCTAACCGAAGGGCTGAATACCCCCGACTGTGTTAAAGGTGTATTTTTAAGTGGATGTAATGAATGTTGTTAATAAAGGTATTTGAACGTCTGTTTTCAAAATTGCTGATACTTACTCAGTAAGCCGTGTGAACTAATACAACAAAATCTGAAATAATTTTATTAAGGACTTACGATAAATAGTAAAAACAGAATTAATTAATTAATGCATATGATTATCTTAATATCCAAATTGTAAGAATACGTTCTCATGGAAAGGGATGTAGGAAATAATTATTCGGGGAAAGGAAATTTTTCCTAAAAAGCCCGTTAACTTGTTATTGTTGTTTGGACGTCAAATTGGGCTACAGAATGGTGAATCCAAATGACTGATGTTTTACTTTAATTTTGGTAACGAGTAATATGAATGATGCATAAGCCTACAACGTAGTGTGTTACATGAGGTATACAGCTCATAACTCAGACACGTGTCTGCTGTTTACTCCTTTGGCGCATTAGTATGGGTTTCATAGTCGAACATATCACTAACAGATTTATCGGCAGTTATGTGCATATGTAACTTATTGTTACGGGTTACAGATAGGACGAGTTATTTTAAGCAAATAATCTAGGGTGACAACCCCAGGACACGAAGTTAAAAATGAACCACTGTTATTATCCCTGTGGTGGTATACTGAATTAAGAAAATTAATAATCAGTTTTCGACATCCAAAACACACTGCAGCTCTGATGCTTTAGAACCCATTTAGAATTTTTTGGAAGGGCAGGACGACAGGTGGTTAAGGGATCGTAACCCTCCCGTGAAGCACCAGATCAACTTCCTAAGGAAAAGCTTGGCACACGTGTGGTCTCTATACGCTATATCAGCGAACATTTTGGTTTTTCAATTATGAAGTTATTTTCTACACAACTGTTCTAGGTTTTTGTGATTATTAACTCCGAGTTTTGAACTCATATATTTCGTGTTTTCGTGAATATGTCTGGAAGGCTTACGCGGCTTCATTTGTTCGTATTTTTCTTTAATTTAAAGAATATGCCTGGTTTTTACGGAGTTTGTTGTGAAATTGATTTTATTGTTTACTTCTTCTCAAAGAAGCGCTCCCCGACATAGTATTCATGGTTAAGGGTTTTTTAACTTCATAAGGGGCTCTGCGTCCACCCCTATTTTGACACATTGGGTAAGCAGCTTTTTTTCTACTACAAGAAAACATTGGTGACATTGGAGATGTTCTGGGTTTTGACGACGAGTAGATTCGCTGGCAGAAACATATTGTCTTCATCTTCAGGGCTAAAGATGGAGACAGTATCCACTGCAACAAAACCCAGAAGAACATCGTCGACCTCATCTCCGTGAGAACACCAAGTCTCACCGGTGGCAGTGGTTAAAATATCGAACTAATTTCTTTAAATTGGGTTCCTTCTGATCTGCGACAATTTACACCGTCGGCTTGAACTATTGCTTGTAATTTCTAGCATTTCTCAGAGCAAACAGCGACTGTTTCCTTGAACAACTCTAACCAATAGAGGTGCTTGTGATTTCTTTGACATAACTGATTTATTAAAATATTATTTAGAAATTGATCAGCCTACGATTTCAAATGGTTAATGTATATATTTCAGTGTTCATACAGCTGAACTGTTGGTGCCAGAACCTAGCTTAGATGAAGTGGAACTAGCCATTGGGAAGTTGAAAAGTTATAAATCTCCAGGAATTGATCAGATTCCGGCCGAATTAATTAAAGCAGGTGGCAAAGGGTTGCATATGAGGATCCATAAGCTTATTCAGTTAATTGGGGAAAAGGAAGAGATGCCACATCAATGGAAGGAATCCATAATTATTCCTATTCATAAGAAGGGGGACAAGACTGAGTGGGGTAATTACCGAGGAATATCGCTGCTATCAACCCCATACAAAATTCTATCCTACATTCTTTTGGCAAGATTAACCCCAGATGCGAATGAAATTATTGGGAATCATTAGTGTGGGTTCAAACGTAACAGATCAACAATTGATCAGATCTTTTGCATTCGTCAGATACTAGAGAAAAAATGGGAGTTCGGTGGGACTGTACATCAGTTATTTATAGATTTCAAAAAAGCCTATGACTCTGTGAAGAGAGAAGTGCTATATAATATTCTTATTGAATTTGGTATACCAAAGAAGCTAGTGGGTCTAATAAAAATGTGCTTAAATGAAACCTGCAGCAAAATTCGAGTAGGTAAATATGTATCTGAGACATTCCTCATCAAGAACGGTCTAAAACAAGGAGATGCTTTGTCTCCCTTGCTCTTTAACTTTGCGCTAGAATACGCTATCAGGAAAGTCCAAGATAGGCAGGAGGATTTGCAATTGAATGGGACACATCAGCTATTGGCATATGCTGATGATGTTAATTTATTGGGGGACGATATAAATACAATAAAGAGGAACGCAGAAGTTTTACTAGAGGCTGGTAGACAAGTGGGGCTGGAAGTAAATTCAGAAAAAACTAAGTACATGTTAGTATCTCGTCATCAGAAGACAGGCGGGCAAAATTATCTTAGGGTAGCTAATAAATCCTTTGAAAGGGTTACAAAGTTCAAATATTTGGGAACAACAATAACAAATCAAAATGATACTTGTGAGGAAGTTAGGAGGAGACTAAATTCCGGAAATGCTTGCTACTTCTCAGTCCAAAATATTTTGTCTTCCCGTCTGATTTCTAAGAACCTGAAAATTAAAGTATACAAAACAATAATCTTGCCTGTTGTTTTGTATGGGTGCGAAACATGGTCTCTCACTCAGAGGGAGGAACACAGATTGCAGGTGTTTGAGAATCGGGTGTTGAGGAGGATATTTGGGCCTAAGAGGGAAGACGATGGGGCGTGGAGAAAACTGCACAATGACGAGCTTAAAAATCTGTACTGCTCCCCCAGTATTGTGAGGGTGATTAAGTCGAGAAGAGTGAGATGGGCGGGACATGTAGCGCGCATGGATGGGACAAGAGGTGTGCAAGTGTTCATATTAACCTTTATATACGCCTATTGTCAGTTCACTCTTACTTCAAACGGAATATAATGAGAACGCAACCAAGAAAGGTGCAATAATCTGCTGTGATTGGCGTATGTATTTGCAAACGTTATTTTTCGCGTGTCTTACAAATCGCTCCTGGAAGAAATGTACCTTACCCGTTTGACTGTTTCGTGGCCCGCATTAGTATTCTTCGACCAGGAACCACCAAAATCTCATGTTGTTTGTTTACATCCAGTTTGAAGTAAGAGTGAATAGATACCAGGTCATCTAAATGGTGAAATGGTCGTCGGATTTTGCCTTGAACCAGAGCTTGCCCGTGCGAATCTTATTTTACTAGGCCTGTGAATGAGTGATATTGAAGAAATTTGTCATTCAACTTTTATGCAAAAAAAAAATGCGTTGGCCGAATATATTTTTTGCCCGAATTGGTCCGCATGGACTACCGTTTTATATAAATTACTGTTCCTATTATTGGTAGGGAAATTTCACAAGAAACGAAACGCCCGCTTGAAAAACCAAGAATGGGGGGCGAGAGCATTAATTCATACTTCAGGGCATTGGCTGTGATAGATAAGAGTGTACGGGATTGATTTTCTAACTTCTAATTCCGCTACTTCTGCATGTTTAGATAATAGATGCGCTTGTAATCAGGATCGTTTCAAATGGCGTTCTTTTAACATTAGTGGTCTTGAACTCGTGGGTTCTCCTACCCTTGTGTTTTTTGTACACACAGAGGCCGACGTTTCCTTTTCGGTACAGACGTTTTCTTGTTACTGGGCCGGAGGGCCTGTACCTCAAAAGCGTTAAGCGGGTGATTACTTAAGATCAGCTCCATGGATCACAGGTCTTAAAAAGCTAATATTTACAGAGATGCCCAAGAAATTTCACCATCTTTTATGGAATCAAAAAGTCAATTATCATTTTCACAAATGCCCGCCATTGGACCTTACCTTGAGCCGGTTTAATCCAGTTCTGATGTAGACTAGCCTGTTAGTTTATGGTGAAGTTGAATGTTACTGCCCCATTTGTCCCCAGTGGCTCTCCTCCTTTCATGTTCCCTATTGAAATTTTGTATGCATTCTTATTTATCCATGTGTACCACATGTTTCGCCCTCCTTGAGTTTTTTGCCCAAATATTTGGTATGTTCATCTGAATTGGTTTGGATGGCCGCTCTGTGATACGATTCTAGACTTGTGATCAGAAGGTACACGCCTCGGTTCGAATCTCGGCTTTCCTTGGTCACTCCAGGCGAGTAATAGAATATTGTTACCTTCAGTTAGGCTCTTTGAACCATTTTCCTCTACACGTACCCGGCATTTGAAAACGCGCGTGTTCGCTTGTAAGAAGCAGGAGTGAAATACACATCTTAGATTTCGCTTTGAACTCTTAAGAAGTAGACGATCATGGCGGGCCTCGAAACGGTCACCTTAGAACACGCGTGGTTTACGTCATTATATTTGTTATGTCTTCACCTTCAACCTATTAAAGAGCTGTATATATAAATAAAGAAGGCTCTTCAAGTGCCAGTCAGCCCCTGCCTGGCGACAAACGTCACTCGTGAATTCGGCATTTATCCAGGAGGTGCATATGTGTACTGCCATTTTAAATTTAGGTTGAAACAGGTTTAATGTACGAAGATGGCTGTGTCCTGGGGTGTAGCGTGGTAGAAATTTACCAACGCTTTAGAGGTCCGCTGCACGTAATTCTGAATTTCGGCTGTCTTCGAATTGCAAGTCACAGTGTGTGTGTATTTTCGTATCTTTTTAATTTACGTACTGTAATCAGACCGCGATTGTCTGTCACAGAATAGATTATTACATAAGGAGCTAAATAGGCTGGTGGGAGTT